CTCTTGCATCGATCCATTAACCGAGACCTTCGACCATTTAGGAACTTGGTAGATAATAAATGCCATCTTTTATTGATTTGTTCAATGCATGGAAGTTAGAAACTAGAGGTATAAATTATTACAATGGCTGAATGAGGGAGTACTGATTGCGATGCGATAGTGAAAATATCGATTGTCTTTTCAGGAGCGCACCAGAAGTGATTTCTAAAGGGCGGTACAGTCACGCTAGCGATGTGTGGTCATTTGGTGTTTTGGCATGGGAACTGTTTGCAGCGTTTTCATCTGGTGATAACTTACCAGAGCGAAGGTTCCCCTATCACGATCTTTCAAACCACGAGGTATAAACGTCTTGCACTGTTTCTCTAAACAGCGCTTGATGATGAGCGCTGCTCAGCAAGTATTCAGTGACATTCGTGAAAGAGTGTAATACACTAAGTTGCAAAAAAGCCAAATGTGATTTTTTTAAAAATATTCGTTTGGTCATTGTAATCTAGTGCGACTTTTTTAAAACATTCTTTGCAGGTTCGTGCGAGTATTGAAAGCAACGAGCTCCTTCAAAGACCACGTTCCTGTCCAGAATGGATTGATATCATGATTCATGAATGTTGGAAATATCAAGCCGAGAAGAGACCACCGGCCATTGCGCTCTATGATTGTCTGACATGCAGGTAATTCATATTATATCCTGAATGAGAAAACGTAGTGCAAGCGTTTAATTACATGCAGATTTTAGAATAAAACAGGCACGTAAAAACTTTCAATTTCATTTTAAAAAAGCTACATATTTCCAGAGAACGCAACTAAAAATTATGCACATGAAGTTGTACTTTAAAGTACTTTTAAATTAAAATATTGCATTCAAAATCTTAAGATAATTGACATTTAAACTTGTGGATAGCATTAAAGTTTCTAGCTGCCGTCCGCGTATCAAAGACGTTGTACTTTAGCTCCCCAATACCTGGTGAAGGTGATCATGTTTGAACCCTGTGATAGGTCAGTTTAAGCGTCATGCCGTTTGAAATGTATAGTAACTGTCATTTGCACCACAGTCATAAAGTTCAATTCTAGTGTAGTACTACTTGTTATGCAGACGACTGTGTTCAGTTTTCTGTTGGAAAAAGTAATCTTTTACGTTATGATGACTACGTTCACCGAGTGGATGTCTTGTTTCTAGACTTCCGTTGCAGTTTTGAATTATTGGTTTGTGTCGTCAAATTCTGTCCGTAATCATCAGTTCATAATTCACACGTCAAACCTTTGCTTCCTTTCCTGTCTAGTCTTAATAGTCACTCGTTTGGCAACAGATTTATTACATTCGGTAGTATTACCATCAGTGATATTTAAAGCAATAATGATAATGATAATTATAATAATAATGATAGCATGAGTAATAATGGTAATTTTGATAGCGATGAAAAGAAGTAGGATGATGGTAAATTCTGAAGCAACTGATCTACGAAAAATGAAATTGCTGCGATATAAAAAAAAAAGGAATAATGAAGAATGGTTGGGGGCGTGAACATATCTAATTCCGTCATAAAAGATCTGCGAGATAATTTGGGATGAACAAATAATGCTAGAACATAGCCCACATCACTTCAGTCGTTGTCTTCATTGCCAACAAACAACCTCTAATATTATTACCAATTTTAGGGTGCCAAGGCAATCTTGGTTGATAAAACTGTGGATACAAAATCATAATAGAGAGGAGTGGCCTGATCTAACCATCTGTCAACCAGAGGATGCCCGTCACGTCTTAAAGGAAGAATGTCGTCCTCAGAGAGAGGACATCGAAAAGATGTGCCAGAAAGGCTTTGATTCGACGTACGAGCTACCCCCATCGTAAATTCCATCAGTACAATCAGTAGCTATACTTGCGAGCCAAAGTGAACATCAGACATAAGGAGGTTCTGCCAGTATTAACTGAGTAAGGAGCATCGCCTGGCATGAAGCGTTGTGGAGTACATGACCAGCGGACTAAACAGTTCGTATCCAGACCTAACGACTATAAAATGTAAAATATCAAATATTGCATGGTAGAATATAATTTACAAGACGTTTGCGGAAAACAGTCAAAATTGAAATATTAATTCCGTGATGCAGTCTGATTCAGACTTTTGTAAAAAAAAAAGGTCAATATAGTTCTATTTAAAGTGAAGACATTCATGACATGTCTCTAATTTCTAAAGTTTTAGTTTAAGGCCTAAATCAAACTATTGCTGACACCGACGGAGTCTTCTTGGATGCCCTCTAGACTTACAGTCACTTTACTTTTTTTCGAAATCTAAAGACACGTTGATCTGAGCTGAACGTGAGCACACCAAGACTTGGAAATTACTGTCCAAAAAAACTTTTGACTTTATGGTTTCAATGCGCTAAGCGGGAAATTTACTTGTTAGCCTAAAATGTAATCGTCCTTTGCAAACCATCGGTGCAAATTGGACAGTGAGCAATGTTTCATCAGGCCTCCTCAAAACCATTCGAATGAAATAGGACAATTTGTACTTTTTTAGACAATTTGATTTATTGATTTATTTGTTTTGCCTTAGCGCTGGCATGTTATCATTAACCCTCGAACTTATTGCAACAGAAGCTTTTTCATCAGTAAATAATTAGTGCAATTAACAGATATTTTATCATACTAAAGTCTCTAAAGATCTCTGTTGGCGAATACCACGCAATAACACCAACTTTTTACTCGTCCTGTGCTACAACTTAAGAAACAAAAATGCAAGCGGAAAACCGTTTATTTCGCGTGTTTCATCGAGAATTAATCTTCAAGAGTTATTTTTAACGAAAGAAATGGCTTTTTAGCGTACCGGATTGGTAATTCTTGTCTGTCTTTCTCACTTTTTCGTTTTCTCTGTACTTGCTACACACGTGTATACATGTATACATGTACTTCACCCATCTGAATCTTCGATATCGTAATCGAGAGGAAGAGTGTGCGCATGAAGACCCTTTGCACATGCCACAGGCCGAGGAACCGGCGCTACATGCTTGGTTATAAACACGTTTTCGCCGGTTCCTGCACTCTATCCCATGTTTCGATGCGATGCTGTCACTAAAATCTGAGCGGGAGGCGTCAAGTGGACCAACCACGTGAATGTGAACATACTCGTTTCTGGGCATCCGGGGTGTCTGAACAATGTTCAATGCGCATGCCCAGGCGCAGTGCCGCGGAAAAGGCAGCTGAAGTGAACAGGGCCTTATTGTTTAAGCTCGGGAATCTTCCCTCTCTGCGCAGACTTTTAACATTGCGTCTTTTCCTTCGATTGTTATTACTGTAATCTCCATCCCTGATCCTATCCGCTGTCATCCAAACTCGCGACTTTAGTACTAACATCTAAGTAGCTTAAAAAACGAATAAAAATAACCCTCTTGATCGAGATTGCTCAATAGTATTCTCTGACCTCGGGCAGAAGAATCGTTCAGTTTAATGCCTGATGTATTCATCAAAGAAACTGCATACATTTTAAATTTAATGTCGTTATTGATCTGCCGTCACAACAATTACGAGGCGGACATTTTGATAAGTCTTTGGTTATACTCTCTTGCGGATTGATGATGGCAAGAAAAACGCAATCATCAAAAACTGAGCGCAATCATCCGTGTTCATTACATGACTTTGCTAGGAGCGCGAGGTAATTCAAATTAACTGCTAACTAAACTTGATACAGTTCCACAAAAGTTGAGTAAACTTTCTCAGCAACTCAACCTGTCTAGAAGGTCATTACTTCCATATTAGGTAAGTAGTAAACCGTATGCAGATTGCTAGTAGCCCAACTCTCTCTGAATATTAAGGTAATTCCTCAGTATTACACTGCGCATCCTGTACTGAGCATAAAAATCACTTAATCAGGCGAACAAAAGCGCTTATTCGCTTAACTAGACTGCTTACTATTGACTGGCAAGGCATTTTTTCTCTCCCGAGCATAACACTCCTTGCCACTTGTTTGTCTCTTCTTGCCCAGCCTCTTGCTTAAGGTGAATCCCCAGAAAAAAAGTTATCGAACAATATTTTCAACTTGCCTTGATCCTTACCAATGTCTGTTTCGAAAAATACATTAAAAGGGATAGGTCACCGTGCTTGTTTAAGAGATATCATGAATGGGCCAAACTTAACCCATTAATGCTTGCTCTGGCACCAATCACCCGCGTCATTGGTCTTGGAGCAAGGATTTCAAAAGTATCACTTGAGAGACAACTTGATTGGTAGAAAGTCTCGAGCACGTGAAACTATTTAGTATGTAAATAGAAAGAGAGATGGTAAGTTTTGAGCTCGGCAAAGAAATAGATAAAGAAAAGCGTGGGACGAAGAAAAAAGTCTGTGTCCCCACGAGGAATCGAACCTCAGACCTTCGGATTCCGCTCTACGATGCTCTACCACTGAGCCCCAGAGAATCTACAGCGGGCGAGATCTATTATGAAGTTCACATGACTCATGGGGACTCAGAATTTTTTATTTGTGCCACGCTCATGACAAGACGAAAAACATCTTTATCTATTTCTTTGCCGAGCTCAAAACTTACAATCTCTCTTATTGTATTAACAAATATGACGCTATCGACATTGCCGATCCTAGCAGTATGCAGGACGCGTGTCATATGAACTTCGTAATAGACCTCGCTCACCATAGTCTCGAGCATCGAAGCGCGGCATCCGAAGGTCCAAGGTTCGATTCCTCATGGGGACTCAGAATTTTTTTCTTAGTCCCACGCTCATGAGAAGACGAAAAACATCTTTATCCATTTCTTTACCGAGTCAAACAGTTAATAACGGAGAGCGTTTGCTTTCCTTTCCTATAAGCAGTCTAGTTACAGTGCCCAAACAACTTATTTTGAGATGGTTCTGCGACCTTAGTGCCAGTTATCGGGAAAAAAAAGGCGAAAACAAAACACCACACACAAAGTAATAGACAAAAAACAAAACAAAACAAAACAAAATTTAAAAAAAACAAACAAACAAAGAGCAAACAAGTAACAAGAGTAGACTTTGAAGACAGCAAACTATAAGACTTTTAATACAATAATTGATGTTATTTCGTATACACGTACAGTCAAAACGTCAGCTATACAGGTTTAATGATTACCAAAATAATAACAATAGCAATTATAAAATCTTCCACTCATACGCAATTTCCAACACAGTTAAACTTCTGTCTGAAACGTAACTAAATACCTCTCCAAACATCTAATTATTTCATGCTCGTGACGGTACTTTCCATCCAACTAAATCACAAACACAGGCAAATTAATTTAGTCCCATAGATTTATCTTATAAACAACACCAAAAGTCAAAGTCTTATTTCCAGCATTCCCGTCTCCTTACAAATAAAGGCAATTATATAAAAAAGTATTTTCCTTGGCAACATTCGAGTTAGTTGTACCTGTTCACGAAATAACATATCTGAAAGTGCGCTCGATTAGGGCTTTTCTCTTTTGTTGCGTCTCATATTAGTTTAACAATGGTCAGTTGATTAAGATGCCACCTAACGTCTACTTGAAATCATTCTATAAGATCACTGAGTCGGCCAAATCCTTGGATCACACATGCGTGGGCTGGATAAGTTTGAACGGTCGTCTGGTCAGGCCTAAGCTTTGTTATCAACGTAGTGTTATTTCAAGAGATAGGATGGTTCGGCTGCGGACAGGATATCGACAAATCTTGAACTAGACGACTTAAAGATGGTACTAGAAAACTGCGGAGAGAGAGAGAGAAAAAGGTTACCCTTAAACGCCACTACCTATAAAATGAACAGAAAGATGACCTATTCAATTGTTAATGGAAATTCTGTTGTTCGAAAACTCTCACGAGAAGTACCTAAGTTGATTTAAACCCTTTACTTTAAAGACGTCTAGGACTGCTCCAAAGGTAAAGTTGAAATATTTGTCATCATACAAACAAGCAGGCCCCGGTTGTTCGAAGGTTGGATAGCGCTATCCACTGGATAAAACTCTATTACCTAGATAGTTAGCATGTAGCTCCCAAGCTTTATCAAGTGGCATTAAGCTTATCGTCAACTATGATGTCAACGTTTGCGCACCCTAGCCACTGTGTTTCGGCCGCGACGAAAATTAGATACGTCATAGCTACTTAATTAGGTTAATCACCGTTAATAACATTAGTACAGCAAGCTTCCTCCCGAAGTCGACATCTGAGGCCATCGGGTATGTAAAATCTGTGGTTCGTTTTCTTTGAACTTTGTTCATATAACCTGATAAACTGTTTGTAATCATAGGTTTCGAAAGACTCATCAATAAACAATAGAAAGTCCTTTGAAACGTGGCTATTTTATACTGTTAACGCTTCGGTCGAGGAAACATTCGAAACCCGTTCATCAGCGCGATGGCAGAAGAAGCCAAGAACGTCCGTCGCGTCGCCAAATCAAGATTCACCAGAAAAAGGAACGAACTCCTGAAGTCCATCTCATCAGCCAGCAATCACGAACTCGTGGAAAACAACTACGCTCAATTCCTGGAAGCATGGAACGTCCTGGAAACAAAGCACGATCTCTACGCGATGCTTTTATCAGACGACGCCGAGCTAGAAGCCGCCGAAATATGGATCAACAAAGTCCAGGAGGAGTTCACCGAAGCGACAAAAGCTAAGATTAACTTTATTAACCACATAGCGGACGTGCAAATGAGAGCGCGCGCAGAAACGGAACAAAGGGATAAGGCGAACAAAGAACGCGAGCAAATGGAACGATTCTTTGATCAAGCAATGATCAGACGAGAAACAGCGCGAGCCATATTTGAAACAGCTTGTCAAAGCGCTTCGCACACACTCAGCGCGGACAAAGTAGAGCCGTCTACGGCGAAGAAACTTCAGAAACAGATTGACGAAGCTTTCGCGGAATGCAAACTAGCGAATAGCGCGCTACTTGATTTATCTACGCGAGAATCTGCAGCCAATGAAATTAAATGGCTCCAAGCTACTCAAGCGATGTATAACGAGATGAACGCTAAACTCGAAGCACACCTCGTATGCGAACATGAACGCGAACTGCAGCCGCAGATCAAAGGAGAAAAGAGCAATCACCTACAACTAGAGAAAATCAAAATGCCCCGATTTGAAGGAGAGTTGAGAGAATATCCATCCTTCAAAAGAGACTTCCAGAAACAAGTCATGCCGCACCTTACGGAAGATACATTATCCTACACGTTGCGTTCCTGTCTCGGAAAAGAACCTTTAGCTCACGTAAAGAGCGTCGACGATGACGTTTACGAGATGTGGAAGCGACTCGACGAAAAATACGGGGACCCAGCGAAAGTCGCGGACGTGATAATTAATGAGATAAGACGCGTAAGATCCATCCGCGAAGGCGAAAACAAGCGATTCATTGAGCTGGTAGGAATCATAGAAGACGGATATCGTGACCTTAAGAGACTTGGCTTGGAAGCAGAAATAACCACAACGAGCTCAGTAAGCATCATAGAGAGAAAACTCCCGCCAGACGTACGCAAAGAATGGGCTAAACTATTAAGTTCTGACGACAGCACTGTGGACAAAACCAACAAGTTTCCGAGCCTGCTCAAATTTTTACTTACGCAAAAACGCGCTATCGAGTACGACGATTCTGATCTTCGCGCGCAGGGCCCAGCCATAACGAAGGCAGTTGTCCATTACGCCACAGCGGATGAAAGACACGACAGCCGCAGCCAGAGAACTTACAGCAAGTGCGTCGTTCACGAAAACTCGAATCATCTTACCAAGGATTGTAGAGTATACCTCGATAAAACAGTAAGCGAAAGACTGTCAACATTGAAAGAAAAAGGTGCGTGTTTTTCCTGCCTCAGAACCGGTCACCGATCACGCAATTGCCGCTCTAAAAAGGATTGCGGCGTCAATGAATGTAAGAAGAAACATCATCCCACATTACATGAAGAAGATCAGACAGAGACTCCAAGCGCATCCGCAATATCCAGTGCATGCAGCCATGGGGGTAATGAGACCTGCATCCTCCAGTTGCAACAAATAAAAACTTCTAGAGGATATGCAAACGTCTTGTGGGACAACGCATCATCCATTAGCCTCATAACCCGCGACAAAGCACGGGAAGAAAGACTGCGCGGAACGCCACTTGAAATCTCTCTCGTGAAGGTGGGAGGGAAGGAAGAGAAGATAAGTTCCAGAAAATACAAATTGCCGCTCATCGACCTCAAGGGCGAAACGACGCTTGTGGAAGTTTTCGAAATAGACAAAATTACCACCGACATTCAAAGTGTTAACATGGATAAGGCACTTGACGCTCTCAAGATACAAAGGGGCGACGTGACTCGGCCGAAAGGCGCCGTTGACGTCCTCATTGGGTATGATTACGCAGGCTTCCACCCGGTAAAAGAAAGAAATGTCGAACACCTAATGTTATTGAAGAATCGTTTTGGACGATGTATAGGCGGGACACACCCTTCCATTCGGGAGAAGAACCACAAATCAGCATTCGACGCATGTGCAAACCACCTAAAAGCAGTCAAAATTGACGACTTCTACAATATCGAGAGATTAGGTGTTAGCTGCACGCCGCGCTGCGGAGGCTGCAAATGCGGAAAAGGCGCTCCTGGAACCAGCGACTACACTCTGAAAGAAGAAAGGGAGCTCCATCTCATCGAGAAAGGCCTTGAATTTAACGAACAGGAAAAATGCTGGATCGCTGAATATCCCTGGATTCGCGACCCACACGACCTGCCAGATAACAAAAGAGCTGCCTTTGGAAGACTCTTAAGCACCGAGCGAAGATTATTGCGAAACCCCGAACATAGCAGAGTTTATCAAAATCAAGTTGAGGACATGGTAGAACGAGGAGTAGCTAGGAAACTAAGCAAGCAAGAGCTCGAAACTTATAATGGCCCTATCCACTACATCTCCCACCATGATGTTCTAAAGCCTGATTCGAAATCGACTCCAGTGAGAATCGTCTTTAACAGCAGCGCGAACTATATGGGACACGTCCTTAACGAGTACTGGGCAAAGGGTCCCGATCTGTTAAATAATCTTGTAGGAATCCTCGTGCGATTCAGAGAACACGAAATTGGATTCATCGGAGATGTGAAAAAGATGTATCACACCGTGAAGACCAAGATCATAGAGCAACACACGCATCGTTTTCTATGGCGCGACATGAACACAAGCAGGGATCCGGATACGTACGTTATACAAAGAGTTTCATTTGGAGACAAACCCTCGGGTACCATAGCGACCGTAGCCATGAGAAAGACAGCGGAACTATCAAAAGAGAATTATCCACAAGCCGCGAATACCGTAATATCCAACTCGTACATGGATGACATTGTAGACAGTGTACATAGCGACGCACAAGCTAAGCAACTAACTAATGAGATTGAGGCAGTCCTAGTCAAGGGCGGATTCAAGATAAAGGGTTGGTTCTATTCGAACGACAAAACAGCAAACGAAATGGCTTTAGAACCCAACCAGCAAAATTCATCAACAGAGAAAGTACTCGGCGTCATTTGGAGTACAGACAAGGATCAATTCCGGTTTAAAGTGGGAATAGACTTAACTCTGACGAAAGCCAAAGGACGCATCAAAGAAAACCCAACTACTGGCGAAATAACGAAGAGGATTATCCTCTCACAGATAAACCGCGTGTATGACCCTCTTGGTCTAGCAGCTCCCGTTACGGTCAGAGCGAAGATTTTGATGCGCCAGCTTTGGGCAACAGAAAAGAAACTCGGCTGGGACGACCCTGTCCCTGAGAAGCAAAGGATTAACTGGCTGGAATTCTTCCAAGATCTGCGCAATATGGATCAAGTTATATTTCCAAGATGCCTCAAACCATCAGGTGCACTCGGTCTGCCGACTCTTATCATATTCAGTGACGGGTCAGACAACGCTTACGGAGCATGTGCTTACATCAGGTGGACATTACCGGACAACAAATTTGAAACCAGACTGATCATGTCAAAGAACCGACTCTCGCCAAACAAAAAATTGTCGATCGATCGAATTGAACTTTGCGCGGCAGTCTTAAGCAAAAGGCTTAAAAACTTTCTGGACAAAGAATCCCGCTACAAGTTTGCGAAATACTACCACATAGTCGATTCTCAAATAGTGCACGGGATGATCCAAAAGGAATCTTACGGCTACAATACATTCGCCGCTACTCGCATCGGAGAGATACAGGAAGGTACCAATCCCCAAGACTGGTATTGGGTCGAGAGTGATAAAAACATCGCCGATTGGATAACACGAGGTAAGCGACCAAGCGATATCAAAAGCGAAAGCGACTGGCAAAAGGGACCTAGATTTCTACAACTCCCGGAATCAGAATGGCCAATAAGTAAAGTAGTCCATCACCCAGAGTTACCAATGAAAACGGCATTAACAACACTTGCTGCAGAACAGGACTCACTCGCGAGAAGAATTGATATAAACAGACATTCAAGTTACAACAAACTGTTAAGAGTAACAGCACGTGTATTAGCCATGTATGCAAGAGAACCAGTTAGTCTGAAGAATGCGACAAAGACCCTGACGCCGGACGATATTTCTAAAGCAGAAAGGTTTTGGATCATTGACGCGCAAAGAAAAATGCTTACAGACGTCAAAAAATCTAAATATAAGCGTTTGTGTCCAAAGCGCAGAGAAGATGGAGTAATAGTGGTTGGTCATCGGACCGGCAAATGGGTGCACTTGAGCTACGATAAGAGAGAAGTGATCCTCATTCCTCGTGAGCATCGTTTCTCCAAGCTTTATGCGGAACATATACATCGAAAAGGTCACCATGGCGTGTCGACGACCGTAAGCAAAATTCGATTACGATTCTGGATTCCTCAGATTCATAACATAGTTAAGTCCATTAGATACAACTGCGTCACTTGCAAGAAACTGGACGAAAACCTCAACAAGCAGGTCATGGGACAGCTTCCAGAAGAGAGACTTATGCCCTCACCACCCTGGCATAGTACAGCCATCGACCTTTTCGGACCGTTTAAAATAAGAGACCAGGTAAAGAAGCGAACAATCGGAAAGTGTTATGGGGTATTGTTCAACTGTATGAGCACAAGAGCAGTTCATATTGACTTGGTAGACGATTACAGTACAGAGGCATTTCTACTTGCGCTGAGACGGTTTACATCTCTCAGAGGATATCCTGCAAAGCTATACTCTGATAACGGTCCGCAGTTGGTAGCAGCTAGTGAAGAACTCCAGAATATGACGAAGAAATGGAACTTAAAAGAACTCGAAACATTTGGAGTGAACGAAGGATTAAAGTGGGAATTCCCATCCGCGGACGCACCATGGCAGAACGGAATATCAGAAGCCCTTATAAAATCGATAAAGCGAGCTATTACTACAGCGATCGGACAGAGCGTTATGACATTTCCAGAACTTCAGACAGTCCTTTACGAAGTATCTAATTTAGTCAACGAGAGGCCGATCGGTCGTCATCCAACTTCACCTGAAGACGGAGCATATCTCTGCCCGAATGACATCTTGTTAGGACGTTCTTCAACAAAGGTTCCTAACGGGCCATTTAATGAAAGCGCAGACCCCAGAAAGCGCTTTTACTTCATACAAAACGTTGTTGACGCATTCTGGAGCAGATGGACACGAGACTATTTCCCAAGCTTGCTCGTACGCCAGAAATGGCATACTTGTAAACGTGATGTCATGGTCGGCGATATCGTGTTAATTCAAGACAGTAACCAGATAAGGGGGAAATGGAAGCTCGGACGCGTCATAGCAGCTAACCCCGGAAAAGATGGCAAGATCAGAAAAGTTACAATTCAGTACAAGAATCCAGCGCCGAATGAAAAAGTTGGTATATACAAGGGTCGAGGATATTCAACAATCGAGCGACCTGTACAGCGTCTAATCGTACTGGTTCCTTTCCACGATGATGAAGATTCAAAGGACATTAAATGAAACTAACTTACGAAATGTAAATTAAGAATTAGGTCAATACCTTCGGGAGGCGGGGAGTGTTTCGGCCGCGACGAAAATTAGATACGTCATAGCTACTTAATTAGGTTAATCACCGTTAATAACATTAGTACAGCAAGCTTCCTCCCGAAGTCGACATCTGAGGCCATCGGGTATGTAAAATCTGTGGTTCGTTTTCTTTGAACTTTGTTCATATAACCTGATAAACTGTTTGTAATCATAGGTTTCGAAAGACTCATCAATAAACAATAGAAAGTCCTTTGAAACGTGGCTATTTTATACTGTTAACGCTTCGGTCGAGGAAACACACTGTAATTCCCTTACTGGATAACGACAATAATAAGAACGACGATTAATAACAACGATTAGTTACGACAATGACTTTAGTAATACTAAGGATAGTGGTAACACCGATGCTAGAAAAGGTAAAGCTGTAGTGGAAAACAAAATCTGGGTGACAACATTTGTGAGGCGGCGTGGCCGAGTTAAGGGTGCTGGAGTTGTTATCTGGTGATCCCGGGTTCAATCCCTCCTCCCTGCCATTCACTGGATTTGTTCTCGGTTGCCCTGCTTTCAACTCTTCGGCTGCGCTGTGTAAATAGCCAACTAGTTTGCCTCCTGCCAATTGGGATTTTCAAGCACTTTATGCTTACTTCAGTCATTTGTAGGGCGCTAGTGGATAGCGATAGAAATAGCGGTATATAAATAAAGCCAGTATTATTTTTATTTAAAATTTGTGAATCATAAATTGGAGCGACATCGTTAGCACTGAATAAAGCAGGCCCAGTTCTGTATACTTCTTTCGGAGATCTACAACCTGCTACGCTTAACGTGATGGTATTTAAACATTTGCAATAATCCTTCGATTTCACAGAGAAACAGCCAAAGATGCTGTTGGAGGTAGAGACAGTACCTGTCAAAGCTTCCTGAGCAAAATACTTCACATCTGCATCAGCATCGCCATTCAGTTTATCAAGGACTGGTTTGATCTGTGATTTGATGGTACTGTGAAAACAAGATAACACACTAGAGATACTTCCCGTTGTATGAAGGAAGGTTTCATTGTGTTTGCCACAAGCAAGGGACAAATAAAACTATCTGAGTTCCCACGGAAGAATCGACCTCCTACCCATTTGGAGCGCCTACCAAAGGCTTCATCACGGCAATTAGCCAGCCTGAAATTTTAGTTATTAACAAAACTACTCACCTCTCATCCAGAGCGGGTGCGATTTTTTGTAAAGTTTTTGCAACATTAAAGCGAACATTAGCGACGGAATCATCTGCTAAACCGATTACAACAGGAAGCATGAGTTTGACTACACTTTCGGGTCCCATAACTTCTGCTAAAACCTGTAGAGAAAAACATAAACATATCAACAGGTATCACAATCATAGGACTGAGTAACCCCACCTATTTGACACCAATACGACATTGGGGAGCCAAAGCAGTCCCTATAGAGATATCTTGGAGGGCATCGACATAAATATTAACTTAAACTTGTCCAAAGAATTTCTCGAGAGGTTGAAGTGTCAGAGAGTAGCGTTAGTTCACAAAAAGAGTCATCTGCCCTTCGTGTTCCCGGTCTCCCACTACGCAAAATCAGGTGATTTGGCGTTGTTGCTATAAACGGAACGGATGGGAAATGAACAAAGTTTCCAAACGCATGTGAAGGGCCATTGGTAAGCTCACTAAATTGTAGGCTTCATCTCGTTCCCTTTACCCTTGCCGAAGTACTTTGCTGAAGGTATCTTTACATGTACTTGCAGAAAATTACCCATAATCAACATACAATTTCCATCCACATCCGCAGTGAACTGTAAGTACTACTACAAGACCAACTTACATTCACAGAGTATAGAGTAGTCAAACGATGAAGATAGTTTGTAGTTGTAGCCATGGCTAAAACCTTGGGAATAACTTGATTCTAGGATAAATAGAAAATAAAGATAAAAGGTCATGTAACATTCAAGGTTCATTATAACCTTTGCACCAGACCAAATTCAACTCGTTACTTCGATTATCAAATTACGCTCCTCACCTGCGCCCATTCAGCTCCAAACTTTTCAACTAACTTTTTGAGGTTTTTAGCAGCAGCTTCTCGTATGGCATACACTGATTGTAAAATAAAGTAATTGAAAGCAATGTTTGTTGACAATCTCATATTACAAAACAATATCCCCAAGTGTCACTACCATGCTTCCTTATACCCAAGGGCTCACTAATCATTCACATCCCATTTCCATTTAAGGCTTAAGTCAGTTTCCAGGCCAGATAGTCATTGTTGTTGGAGTTTACCCGGGTTTCAGAGGCGTAAGGCCTCAGCAGTGCTACCACACTCATGGATGGGAGGGTTACCCACCCTACTCCTCACCACTCATTTTGATAGGAATCCAGGCACTTTGACACTAGTATACTCTTGAGCAGAGAAAGGCAGGGGCAATAATAGAAATCTGCAAAAGATCCCAGGTTAAAACCTTTCACACTGATTTGTTTGTAAGAGTTTTACTACTCAGTCAGCTGGGATTTGTGAATACCAATTAAACAATTTAAATTCCATTTACTACATTTTTAAAGGAATTTAAGAGCTCCCTCCTGAGCAAAACAGTAACATAAATATCAACACATCGAAAAAAAAAACATGATTTACATTAATTTTTTCATTGTCCTTTATTATCAGTATTCAGGATGATGTCCTGTCTTGATTGAAGAGCACATTGCAACATTGCAAGAAGATATTAATTTACCTTAACCATCAAGCAACTCACCATGATCTACAAGCCATGTCATGCACAAGCTGTTGAGCTTCTCATCAAAGAACTCCACTCCCTGTAAGAGAAAAGACAGTTGTTCAGAATGCAATTATGATTCTCTGATTTCACAACATAAATTTTCTATTTCCACTGAACATTACTTATTTTCAATGCTAATTCCCAATTTCATGGCTGAATTGAATTTGATGTGAATTCATACTAAATTAGGTAAGCTACACCTTCATGGTATCAGATACAGACACTTTCAGGATGTCACTACTTCAGTGCCTCTCAGGGAGTCAGATAACATGTTGCTATTTTCCATTCTTTTGACAAAGGAGCTGAAAATATCCCACTGTTTGACAACCAAGCTTGACATGTTTAAAGCAGCACCATCCTTTCTGTTTCCCAATGCACTGCTGACACTGACATTTATATCAACCAGCTCTCAACACTGGATCTTACTCATAACCCAGAGGTGATTAAAATGTAACTCTTCCCCATAGTATCCATACATTGTCCAGCAAACAGATAATGAGAATACTCAAACTTATCAGGTAGAAGTTGCCATCTTTTTAAACCCCAAATCCTTGTAACTAATTTACAAGAAATGTGTTGGAGATAGAGGGGAGAATTAACAATCAGATCTTAGGAGTTAGACAGTTAAGTATTGCTGATGATAAAGTATGTTTTTTTGCCAACCAACTCACAAGACCACTAGCAAATTCTTGAGGAGAACAACTTCCTCTTTTGTCAAACACCATCATTCTTCCCCAGTTTAAGGATTGGTAAAAAAAAAAACTAGAGGTCGGAAAGACACATGAATTTAACATGATTTTAACCCTTGACAGTTAAGAGAGTAAAGTTAGGAAACATACCAACTGACTGGCTAACAATGGCATATACTCAATGATTGCCAGTCGCACACGCCACTTGGTGTCTCCGGCAAGCTCAAAGATGGCAGGAAGCAAGGACTGTGACAGTTGGTTGACACCAATGACTGGAGAAAAACATTCAAATAATTCATAAGTAAGCCACAAATTGAACATATATTCATGTACTATATTGTCTTTTAAAAGCAAATAAAGATAATATAAATTCTCTAATTTCCACCTTACCTTGATTCACACAGTCCAGATTTGATATTATATTGAGACGGACTTCAGGAATCTGGAGGAAAGGGTTTATTGGGATGTATTATTCTGAACTTGGTACTGTTAATTAGCATAATTACATACAGTCAAGCCTGTATTAAGCAGTCAACTATGGGAATGGCAAGGTGACCTCTCAATACAGCTTGATTTCTTAATATAGTTGCTTCATATTTGTCCTAACAGTCCAAAAAAGAAAGATGATCTGCAATGCATTTAAGCCATTATATTTTATACTCAAACTATTAGCATTGATTTAGGGAGATGACATTGAAAGATTAATCTTAGTTTCATTTGAACGCTTCTGCTTTACATGTAAGTGACTATCCAATACACATGGAAGACAATAAAAACGGGCTGTTGGGACTCAGTCAAAGGTGACCACAACAGCTTAATAGAGGTAAAAATTTCAGTACTTCAAGGGCAAAAAATTTAGGACGTTAAATCAACCGGTTAATACAGGGTGACCACTTGATACAGGTTTGACTGTAGATATAGTTTAAATTTATATACTTACATAGCTCAAAAGAAAATAACCCACAAAGGATGTTAAAAGAAAAATGAAAAAGTTGTCTTTTGTCCCTTCAATATTTTACCCTGGTTTATTATACAATACATTCTGTAACTGTAACACAGACATCCATTTTGCAAGTCTTGAAAATATGATGTAATAGTTTTAAGCACAAATTGAGGAATCAGCTTCAGCTAAGTCCCTGTTTTTAAATGTGAACAGGAGAACGTTTAAAGAACAAACACATTACCTCATCTTTTAACATAGTGAGGAACAGAGGAAGAAGATGTTCAATGGTGCTGAAAAGATAACCAAAATGTTGGCATTAATTAGCAGAAAACTAACACAGCAACTACATGAATAGATGAACCGCATAACATTAAAAAAGAAAATAATAATACCAGAACACATTCATTTGTTCACTAGTGTGAAAAACTACTGTAAAACTAAACAAAAACATTAACCATACATACTTATCCTTTCCCAACATTGGTGAGAGTCCCATAATAACAGATGCTAAAGCAGATTTAACATGTTGATTTGGATCCATGACCAAGTCCTTAAAACAAAAGCAATATTAAACAATGTTTCATGTAAAACTACAGTACACTCTTGACAACACAAAATGTATCATTTATCACCTAAATTTCGCAACACTGTCAAAAACTAAAAATAGTTATATTCAAGGATGTTTTGATAGGCAAAGGCTGCATTATTATCTGATCAATGGATGACTCTAGCATTTTCTTAGTGGAAGGTAATGGTTCTCAAAATCAGCCAAAATAAAACAACAGCAGTGCTCTTGAAATTTTTTACTGAAAATTTAGAATCTGTAGGTTAAGAGATCTTCTTAAAGAAATCAAAACATGCTTCACTGGCAATGCTTATGGAAAAGTCAAGTTCTGAAATGCAATGCTATTTCTGGACAAAAATGTTGCACAGCTTCACATCACTCATGAGCTTCTTTTGCCAATTAGATTTTACCTGCATCAGCTATGACATAAATGTCTATAACACTGATTAAATATAACTATATCCGACCTGAAAGCACTTAATTTTAAGATTAATTATCATCATTAGAACTGAAATTTATGTTCCAAATGCATCATACCTTGACACAAGGAAGTAAATTTGTCATCAAGACTTGTTCACGGACATCTTCAGGAACTTTTTCAGCAAAATCTACCGAAAGAGGGAGTTTGTGAAACACACAGAACAACATTAGAATACTGCCTACAAATGAACTTGCAAATGACATTGTCTGTTATCCCAAGGTATTGATGTTTTATTATTCCAGACTGCTGCCTACTCCCCAAAAAGGAATACAAAAAAGAAAGAAAGAAAAAAATATTAAGGATAATAAATTTTTCTAAATGTGCATGTATAGTATGATGAACTAAGAAATTTCACATTCCTTCTTCATCAGTACAGTATAAGCTTCCCATGAATAACAAATTTCACTTCAGAGGTAATGTGAAGTCTACTAGTAATGATGGAGAAATCAATCAAAAAACAAACTGCATGTAAGCTATCTCTTGAGCTGCATTATTTTGTAATCTGTTATTAGGTAACACTAACTCCTTGGTATCTTGAACCCGGTTTTGCATCAGCTTCAGTTAGCAGAGTTGTACTATAATTATATCAGCAGTAAATAATAAGAAGAAAAGAAGTACCAAATTTAGAAAAACTTCAATTCTACCTTTGACTTTTCCTGCAGCAGCAGCTCTGACTTCTGCCTCACAGTCTTTAAGTAAACCTTGAAAGGCTGGTACCAGGTCAGTCTTGGTGATCTCAGATCCCACAGCATTTTGCAACTAAACCAAGAGGAAAATAAGATGAAGTACTTGGTTCTGATGTAAAATCTTGAGTTTTATGATTACATTCACAGGTATCTCACTTTTCAGAAGAACAAATCTAATGAACCAAATGAGACTCACATGTATGTTGCTTACACCTTTTACGAAGCAAAACGACATGAACCTAGTGCTTTAATAACAGATTAATGATATGAATGTACATGTAGACATCTACTCTGAGCTTAACTTTGGGAACTTCAATTTAAGTTATTATCAATGTTTGTACCTATTTTGTCCAGTGTTATAGCACACTAAACATATACAAAGTCATACAGCATACATGCTAACCTCAGTGAATTTGTCTGCAACCATGTAACGTACTCTCCATGATTTGTCCTTGAAAACAATGAAAAGCAAGGTCATTAAGGGAGTATTCTTTTTGAAATTGTTCAACACCATTTTTTCATTCAAATTCTAACCAGATCTTTTCAAGTAATTTTATTCTTTGAAGCACTATCAACTTAATAGTCATGTACATTACCTGTGCGGCAGCTCTCACTGTAGGCATAAGCAAAGTCTCTTTATCCTCATCAGGCAGGATTGAAGCAATATTTGAACAACCCTCAACAGCTAGCAACCTAACAGAGTCTTGTTCATCACTGGCTAAGTTATTGAACAATGGAACAAGATCTGATTTGACAAACTCCAGCTCCACACATTTTGCAAATTCCTTAAATCAGAACAAACCAAGATTATCAGTGAACAAGGACTTCTGGCAATTGAAAAAAGCATCAAAATTTAGGTACTACTTGTGACAGAAGCAAAAGTGTTTTTAAAAAGCCAGTATCTGATTTCCACATAGATCACCTAACTACAATTTGAGTGTCAATAAAGATTTCTCAGGGAGAAAGCAGCCACCTTGGAAGATGCTGGGACATTTATAGAGATGGGATTCACAACAGTTGCGTATATGGTGCCTTATTGTGTACTTCAGTATTAAATACTTTAAATGAATCTATATTTCATTCTTATAATTTAGATATCCACTTTATAGAGGTTGAGAGGTTGAGAGGTATAAGTGAGAATAATAATAAAAAAAACAAGCATCACATTTGTGACATGTATGATGGAAAATTAAGTCTTTCTCAGAAAATTGTTATAAAAAGGATAATATTGTGCACACTAAAACTTTGGGTAGAATGTAGTGTAAAAATGATCTTTGCTCTTTACCTCATGCCCTGTTACCGCACACATTGAAGCTAACTACTGTACAGTTTTATTGTTTAATATAATTCAACTTACACCAAGTTTTCCAGAAGCTGCTCTTCTAACCATGGGTGTATCATCTGCACACAAACTTTTAAAATGGCTGCAAAGAGGTCAAACATATCATTACATAAGCTAGCAATACATGTCAATAAAGATAAGCAAAGACTATTATTAAAAATAAACCGTTGAGCTATGTCAAAGATGCAAACAATTCCAGGTCAGTCTCTGTCTTTATATAAAGAATAAACTTGGGATGCTGTAAAGGAACATCATAATGAGGTCCATTTGTATCTGTGCAGCTCAGTACATGTACATCTCATCAGTCTTAAAATATCCTAGCAATGTTTTTTGTGGAAGATGATGTTATTCAAGTGAGTGACAATGCAGGTGCACCCACAAAAAAGATCTTCGAGTGCTCCCAATAGAACTGTAAACTATGACCTTCTTATTATTACTTCAAAAGCTCTACTACTGAGCTATAGGAGACACTTCTTTACCTTCTCAGTTCTGCTTTTAGGCTTGCATTAATGCGAGCATATGCTACTGCAAACAGCCCACAAGCTGAAGTTCTGGAGGTAAACCAATCTCCTGAAAATGGAGTAAAAGTTTTAATTGACACTCAATTAAATAAACACAAAACAGCTTTCATTTTCCTGTTCAGCTGTGATCATCACTACATTGTTTTCAAAACAAGGTGTTTGTAAGTGCTTTGTATTAACAGAGGTTTTCAAATGTGAAGGTACAATCTGAAGATTACTTTTGAGCCTTAAAAAAAACAACAACAAACCATGCATACCTTGTGATAACCTCTTAACTAGAGGAACAAAATGATTTTCTAGGTCTTGTGTTGAATGATCAGCTGCAATAGTTCTTAACGATTCAACTGCCTGTGAGGGAAATTTGAAGATGGATTAAATCTTTGTCTATTTAACAAAGACTTAAAGCTTCTCACATCAGAAATTATAGAGGAATAAATAAAGTTGAGGGATACTTTGAAGTTTATCCAGGGGTAATTTTATCAAGCCCTGAGTTTTTTGTGCTTTTCCTGAGATAATACTCACTTCTACACCATTGAATTTTTGTAATGTCCACAGACTCAGCAATTCATGAATGAGAAAATATTCAAGTTTAAGAATTCAAGTACCCTTATTTCTACTGCCTCACACAACTTTTCAAATCCCACAAGAATAAATAACAAAGAGATGTCTGGTATTGTTTTTCAATATTTCTCCAAAGATATTTGAGTATTTCCTATCAATGTTTGTTGAAAGGCCAAAAGGTAGATATTCCACATAAAGTACTGAAACCATGCTGCAACTGAATTTAAAAGTTAAAGTTTCTAAAAATTTGAAACTAGTTTTACAAGTCATGCAGACTATAATAAAACTCTAATAAATAAAAAACTATACACCCATACTTATGATACCCTGAGTACAAGTTACTATATGAAATTTATTTCAGATTTAAATTATTTTATTTGAGTTTGATTCATATCTGACCATTACACCTCCAACACAATTGAAATATTGTACATGTTTGTATGAATCACATTGGCTTCATATCATTTCAATCTGAAATTCATTTCAAATTGAAATAAATGCAAACTGCATGTTGCAACTGAAGACTCAATGAAGGTATAGTAAAGAAAAAAAAGAGGAGAACAACATCTTATTATAGAGCTTTACCTTATCCCTAACCACTGTTTCTTCCACAGTTGCTAAACTCTCAAGTGGAGGCTAGATAACAAAACGATACATTGAAATTAAGAGCTACATCAAACAACCTAGTGGTACATAATATCACTTCTTTAAGTGATACTGGTATTCAATTATGCATGAAGCCACAAGAGGTAATGATCCTTCTCCAGGCTCACTTTTGATAGTTAACCCTTTCACTCCTGGCCAGGCCAAAATCGGCCAACTGGAAACTTGTTGTCATTCCCAAACCAGCCAAAACCAGTCAAAAAGAGCCATTGTTTTCCCCTTCTCTCCCCTCCCCCATCAAAGAATATAAGCTTAGTAAATATTTGCTTATTGTTACTATGGCAACAGTGAAGATCGATTTCTTGGAAAGAAATGATTGAGCAATGTCGTCCGTGAGTGTATAAAACCACTTAGTTCATTATCAAATTGGACTTGATAAAGCAAAGAAACTCTACCTGGTGGCTATTTGCTTTATCAGCTCCAAATCGATAATAACCTAAGTGGAATAATGATGAGGTAGGTAGATCCTTTACAAATTAGTTTCAGCAAATACAGGGTGATTTTTGGTGATTCAGATGAGGAAGGCACCAAAGATATTGATTTTCTGGGTATTGATGAGGATGACGAGGAAAGTGATGAAGTGAACAGTGAAAGTGGCAATGAAGGAGCCTCGGACAGTGACAGTGAAGAAGAAGAAGAATGATGGACAACTGACCTCAGTAACATTGTTGTTGACAAATTTTCAGCACAATCTGGAATTGTTGTCAAAATGGGAGTCAACCCCAAAGCTGATGATTTTTTTGGTTTGATGTTTGATGAGGATCTTTTTGAGAAAATCAAGGAGGAGACACACCACTATGCTTGCATGATGTTTGCAAACCCGAAGTGAAAGCTTACTTTGTGGGTTATCATGGGGATGCATATTCTTCCCAAGGTTGCCGACTACTGATCAACAGACATTTTCCAGGGCAATGAAGGAATAAAGAGAGTTATGCCTAAAATCCAATTCGAAGAAATTTTCACATCTAAATGACTTCAGTCGGGAACCCGCGCAAGGAGATGTAAATTTCAACTGTCTGTACAAATGCTGTCCTGCTTTGAATACCGTTTTAAGAAATATTCAATGCTGTTCTTTGCCCACAAAAAACCTATTGGTTGATGAGGGGATGATAGCATTTAAAGGCTAAACCGACAAAATATGGAATTAAAGTGTGGATGGCAGCTGATTCTTCAAATGGTTATGTCATCAACTTCTATGTTTATTTATCACAGACAGTTGCAAATGTGGTACAGGTACATATTTTGGTTCCTTTTTAACATTGCTGCTTACAATGGTATATTCTGGAATATGAGTACTGAAGGATACGAAATCAGCAAAAACGACCACAAGCCCCTATTTGGTTAGAGTTGGGTAAGTGCCTGATAAATGGCTACTTGTATCAAAAGTGAGCTGTGAATCAAGTACTGGCCCAAGAACCCAGAAGAAACCACAAAGCGATTCATGAAAAAGGCCAAAAGAAAGAATGTGTGCAGTGCAAATCTGCTGGTAGAAAAACACCGAAAGGCTATCCAGTCAAAACAAGAAATAAGTGCCAACAGTGTGGTGTTAGGTTATGCAAAGTACGGTGCTTTGCCGATTATCATAGTGAAGACACTTGAACATAAAAATTGATTCTATAAGTCTTAATTTCCAGTTTTTTCAATGAGCAGATCATATAAATATGCAACAGAAACTAAAAGTGTCATTCACTTATTCATTTAATTGTACACTTTGAAGTTTTAAACTTGTATTTTGGTCTTTTGACCCACCAGGAGCTTGGAACTCAGACTTTCGTAATGGCAGCAAATTCAAATTTTCGTTACAAACATGAAGTTTGATGGGACCTATCTTCAACAGCTTTGTTTAATTGTGTATTTTCAGATTTCCATGAGAAAGAAAAATGTTTCAAAATAAATTTCTATTGATCAGTTGGGTCTATAATGGCCCCCAAATTCTACTGAGCATGCATGTTTTGATTTTGGTTTAATATTTTGTGCAACTGCTCCAATTAGCTCCAGGAATAAGAGGCAGTTAGACTATGAGACCTCCAAGAGTGAAAGGGTTAACTGCTAATTTGTTTTACCATTGGAGGTTACCTTTACAAAAAGTACTAGTATTTCTTAATATGATTTTCAATGCTCCTTTAAGGGTACACGACAGGAAATACATACCAGTAAACAATGTACAAAGTCTGGACCTCCAACTAAAGGGGTAAAAGAACCAAGCTAAAAAACAAAACATAACAACAACAAAAACTTCAGTAAACAAATTATACAATATGACCTTGCAGAGTAAGAAATTCATGTAACAGCAAGTTAGCCAAATTGGGTCTTACAAGAATGCTAAGTGGCCCAAATTGACCTTTGGGAATAGCCAAAGAAGTTGACATAAGTGTTGGATAGTTGCAATTGTACCAATGAAATTATAAGGTTAACTGCTGCTTAAAAGCCCTAGGCCTCTACCTTAAAGTAAAAGTTTAAGGTTGCCTTATGAATGTGGGAAGAGTGGGGGGAGGGGGTGGGGTGCTAGAGTCTGGAGGGAGGGAGGGAGGCTAAGAAACTGAGGGTGCTTGTAGTAAAAAGAAATTATGACAAGCAAATGTCACAACATTTACAGTGAATGTATGCTTTTCACTACATTTTTTAAATTAATATTTTAAGTTTTATAAATAAAAATAATCCAATAATTTATATAAAAAAGTACCTGTTCTGCAAGTGCTAAAAGGACCTCATCTTCATCATAAATTGTGTCTAAAGTGACAAAAAAAGGAGGAGAAAATTTGATCTGAGGCCTCATTCCTCCATTGAATTTACACTCATTAGAACATGTTCGTGGAGTACTGAATAAAAGAATGCCCATCTGATTTCACAAGTCCTTATCCAATTGTGCAATGGCCTTGATTTTTCTTCTTATTGTACAGTGGGTAGAGAGGGTGGGGCAGGCACTACTGCAAGCAGGTGTGGGAAAAACTTTTGCACAGAGCCTTCAGAGTGGACAATAGTTTTATTCTCTTTCAACATTTCTTGGACAGAATGATCTTGTTTGGTGGATCAGTGTACCATAGGAAGAAAAAAACCTGTTAAGTACTACATGTTATAAAACCATTCAGGTCAGTTTCTTTGTTTCAGATTATGACAACGAATTCAAGAAAAAGAAATACAATTATCAAGATTGGTAAGAAAAATTTAAGACCAACAAAAATTAGAGTCACACAAGTATAAGGAACACAAAGCTGTTCTTAGCCTCAAAAATAGTTGCCGCTAATGTAAACAATAAGAGTTGCAGTCAACTTATGATTCACACCAGACTAGGAAGCCAAGAGGTTCACACTACAATACTCATATGGTACATGTACTTTACTGTAAGATTTTAACAAATACTGTAACGAATCTGCAATGCTATCTGTATCAGGTAATTAACGGTAACTTCTTCATGTGTACCCGACTGATTTACATGGCTATCATTTCAAAACATTCCGTAAGTCACAATAATACATTCACCTACAACAAGCAGCTAAAAATTTCGTACTCATGGATCTTGGCCCACTCATATGAGTGTACAGTTTGAAATACTCCTACTTTGTATTCTATGAAGACAGTTCAAAGATAGCTTTTACCATCTAAACTTGATTTAATTAAGTCCTTACTGATTTCTTGTCTTTCGGTTAAATAGTTCTGCTTTTCTTTTTAATAAATCACATCGCGCTCTCATCGAAAGCAAATGTTAGTTTCCAAGACATCGATTGCGAACTCTCCACAACGATCACCATCAAATTTACACATAATTCTTCCTTTCAAGTCAAAATTGCATCTTTTCCAAATAGACACCAAAATCACTGCAAGGGGTTAAGATACAACGGAAAAGTATGTATCACACAACAAAGGAAGTGCTTTTTCCCTTAGATATGATACAAAAACCTTCGTATAAGACTTAGGTCAAACCCCGATCGTAGAATAGACCTAAGCACCGTACTGCATGGATGGAAGAATTTCTTACACAATTTTTGCAATAACAGACGAGGAAGGTGTAGTATTTTAACTTACCGGTTAGAAAAGGTATGAGTTCACTTCTCGTTCTTTCTACACCCAAAGCCAAGGCGATGGTCGAAAGTTTCTTGATGGAGTTCAGCCGCAACTACAGAACCATTTTACGAAAGTCAAATTACAAAACAATTCAGGTCGACATCGCAGAGGGCTCGAAGTCAGACTCAAACAGAATCATAAAATGTGACCCAAAACCGTTAAAAAAAGGAGAAAAAATAGAAGAAATAATATGGTTTCTTTCCTCACTTGAACATCCTCGTTTCGAAGCTCATCTATCAGTACAGCGATCGGGTAAAGTGAATCATCTCCGTCTCCTGACGCCATGTTATCAGTCGGCAAAACCCTTGTCGTTGCCGCTCTCGAGCCCGCTTGCAATTTACCCGTCAACACTTTCGCGCAAAATTATTCCTGTGTTCCTGGTTTTCAGTACTTGCCGATGTTGACCGCGCACGATCTCGAGCTAACCCGAACAAAAACCCGAACTTTTCCCGAGCCGGCAACTGGGTCATCGTGTGGCCCTAAGAAGACTGTGGCAAGAACACATCGGATGGGCACATTGACTCTGGTCAATAAAGTCCTGAGGTGAATGACCTACCTTTCGATCGGCTTTAAGGAGGCATTCAGCTCATTTATTAGGTAGTTCGTAGCTTCTTGAGCTTTTTTTTTCTAATAATCGTCGACCTTTTGCGGTTACTTCCTCATTATTACAGGCCAAACTGAGCTAATTTTTTTCTAGCTAATTAGCATTGACTAATCGTCTGGATGTAGAGTGTACGCAACAGAGAAACATTTACTTCAGGAGTGGTTTTATGCGGATAGGGGGATATTAAACCCAGAAAATATCTCATATTTCTTTAGAATTAGAACTAACGGCTACACTGGCTCACAGTTTTGTGCAGCAAAAACTTTCATGTGAAAAATCAAGCAGCCAGCTCACGATAAAGGCAGATCTGGTTGTTAGTACAGTCAGACAGTGGTACTTGATCTAACTGAAGGTTAAACACACAGCTGTATAGTTAGGGATTTTGTGCGCGCTTTGAGACGTTGAGAGGTGAAGCTTAGGTGAGACAAGCGGCCAAGCCGCGAGAGTTACAAGCCACTCGTTTGTGCCGGTCAATCGCCTTTTTTTTTTAAAGAGCCTCCAAGTAAACTGTAGCTACTCGGGCTCAAATTTAAAAGAACAGAATATCATAGTCGTATCGTGATCGTTGGAGCTATCGCAATGCTCAAATTGTCTGCGCCCCAGTAACCAGAGGAAGATGGAGACTTGGAAGAGCCCGCGTATAGAACGCGGCTTGACCCATACTTTCTCATTATATTTGTACGCTACTATCACGCCCCGTTTATTAACTGATTGCTTAGAACAGGTCAGTGTAGCTTGGGCAAGAACACAGGTTACTGCTCAGTCTTTCGCTTTTTCCCCCCCGAAGTGCGACGACGGGCGTAAGCGACCGAGGAAGCCTAAGTACCAATGTGGTCATCTGGGGGCGATTGGAAAATTGAACTTCTCGCCATCATGTAATAACAGAGGAATAAATTTAGGTGATAGCATGGAGGAAAGTATCTCCTCTAATGCGGCAGATGCAGGGGAAGTTAAAGAGAACGAAACGAAGAAAGAGCGACCCACAAGCCTCGACTTAGATAAATGCGACGCAGGCAATGACGAGGAGGTTAAAATTCAAGACGGCAAGAAATCATCTACCACAAGGTTACCTGCACAGATCTAAAATCAAGTGTTAGCGCTCTTTGGGTCAAACAGGATTAGTACAGAGACCTCTTTCGCCGCCTTTTAATTTGTGCTGTATATTTTCTTATTTAAATTAGAAAACCGAAAGAGTTCTCCTCCTCCCAAGAGGATTTGCTGGAAAGGTTAGTAAATTTTCAGTGTGGGGTTAATTAACAGTGAGAATAATAGAAACGTCTAGCTCTTCATAACAACATTTATGAACATATTTCTTGATTTTTGCGTTTCTAAATATATCGTATGTATGATTTAACTATATTTGCAATTTTCATGAAATCATTCAATGCAAAACGGGAGCTTGTTCTTTGACACTGCAGTTCCGTCTAATTGGTACAATTTTTGAATATCTCAGACCCTCATTTAATTTGGTTGATATTCGAAATCCAAATTACAATGCAGTTTAAGATTGAAATCTTATGAATGTTTATATTTAAATTTCACACAAATGCTGCTTTGGTTTGATAACATCAGTACGTACGGGTGAGAACGCATGTACCAATCTTCTTAGTTCATTTACGGTGAGAGGATTTCTGAGAGGAAAATTATAATTACAAATTGCTGTTTTAAAAACAGATGTTTCAGGTTGTCAGATCTTATTATTATCCGTTTTTGGCTGCTTAAAACCGTTGCAGATTAAGTCCTCATTTAAAACATGGCATGGAAATCGAAAAACAGAAAAATGAAGCTTTGAACTCCTTTTCCTGGCCCAAAGACTTCAGGATTTGCATCAGTTACACTTTCACTATTAATGTTCAGCTGAGTGTTTTTCCCCACAGCATTTGCATAATCATCAATCAGTGAATTAGTATTGGCTTAGTGTAGACTAAGCTTTATTTAAAGTGGAGAGCTTTATGGCTTCTTCTTCTCACAGTAAAAAAAAAAACCAATTTTTATGGAAGTAAATTATGCACAGTAACAGGAGTAGTTTCCAGTGCTGTGGCTCCAAATGTTGATATTTTATTTCTTTTTAAACTCCCTTGACAGAATAAGAGGGTTTTTTTAATGTAATTACATTAATTATACAGTAAAAAATTTATGACAACTGCACTAGTGAATAATGGGCTTGATGTTGTAACTGGGATATGTCTGGTTTTGCCTCAGTTACAGTTTCAATAAGTTGTATTGCATGCAATATTGAATTTTGCAGTTGCGTGACCCTTTATACCTTACAAGTGACTGGCATCTAATTTCACCTTACAGTAATACTAAAACATAATTAAGATTTTGAGAATAAAGAAAATGGTCATAAAGCAAAGAAGCTCTGATTGCAAAATAAATTCTCCTTATTAGTTCTAAAGGAAATGTATAGAAAATAGTATCAAGAATATGGATACTGTTGTTAGGATGAAAGGGTTTAATGACTCATTTGATATGAAGTTTGTTATATCTCAGGTGAAAAAAACCTGGTATTTTTTTTAGTGGAAATTATTAGGTTAAGGTTAGGGTTTGGGTTTGACCATTAGATATAAAATTTTATCAGGAAAATATTCAAGTTAGAAGTATTTTTTTTACCTCTCAGGTAAAAGGCAAGGGGTTGATAAATTCTTTTATTTTTTGGAACAACTTTTACTAGAATTCACTTTGGTTTGCACATTGAAAAGAAAAAGTGAATAGTTTTTCCTTTCATGAACTGTGATGGGTATTTGAGTTATATGCTCTTTAACCAAAAGCAGTGACCAGTGAGTGTTTGAAGATGAGTAGACCTAATTTGAGAATCACAGGAGATTTTTCAATACCTTTACAGTCTTGATGATGGCGATGAAAGTGGCCAAAGAACTTCGCCTAGAAGGTACACAATGTGGATGACTGCTCTAGAAATAAATACACTAAACAACCATGGAAAAGGCTTTGTAATTACTTTCTGAAAGTAGTAGCTATGCTTCTCTTGATATCTTTTAAACAAATACACACTACATGTGGTCTAGAGGCATTTTTGTTATCCAACTGCACTAAGCAGAGTTCAATAATACTCAAATTGAGTACAAATATCCTGCTTTAGGATGTACCACATTGGTGAATGGTGCTTTTTGTGCACATTGATTGGTTGGTTCAGAAGTGATTAGCAAATACTATTCACTTACAAGCAGATGGAGAGACAAAATTGTGCATCAACAATTTAATTTCTGATCATTTTTATTACACTGACAAGAAATTAACTAATTTTTTGGTTTCTGTGTGGTACGTACTAAAATTATTATTCTTTTCAGTGTCATTGATAGTGGTGGATATTTCCAGCCTGTACCTTGCCACTTTGTGGCTTGGTAAATATCCACTACTTTTCACCTACTTTTCAGGGAATAATTGTGAAATATGGTCATTTGTAGGGCACAACTTGCAAAAATATGTGATGAGAGTACACACCTGAATGTCTAATAAGTTAAATGTACATTAACAACCCTTCCTCTTGCCTCAGAATTTTATTATTACTTTCCTGTCAAGAGGCTGGTGTAGATGGTTATAATTATTGTTGATAGCTTTCTCAACAGATGATAGTACATTGATGGGGCTCCAAGCTGAACTTTTTTAAAAGCCTTTGTTTTGTGGCCCAATGTCATAAAATGGTTGTAAATGTGGTCAATTTTTGTGTCATGAATTGTAATCACCAATATTCTTCCTATTTCAGTAAGAGTATAACACATAGTCTAAAATCAAAAATAAGGGATTTGAGTCCATCAAGGAGAGCAACACTACCCAATGCTAAACCAGAGAGAAAAGGAAGCAAAGCTGGGGATAAAGTCAGAAAATCACCGGTAAGTACTTGTTTTTTTGTACTGTGCTACCTGACCTGTTTTATTTTGTTATAATTATTATGTACAGTAACTCTCAGAGTGCTGAATCAAGTTAAATTTTTCTTCCAGAAGTCACCTGGTAATTGGCTTCCTGCTTCATTCAATCAGGTAGAGATGTATTGATTGTTATTTTATGGAAATTTGGTCAAATTAGATAGAGGGGGTTTGTCACTCAGTGAGTTCTCATTGAACTGAACTTGAAATTTGTAATATTATTTTTTTTTATGGGGAAGGGGGTCATGATTGTATCTGAGTTCAAATGATTTTTGGGAGTGCTCAAGCCCAGATGGCACGTTTTATTATTATTACAGACTGTATTATATTATTGTTTTTCTATAACCGTCCTATTATTGCTGTATCACATCACTTTACCTTTGTAGATTTTTTCTAGTTATAAGACAAAATGTGGAGACTTCAAAAGATTATTTAAAGAACTTCCTGAAAGTGAGCAATTGATTGTAGGTAAGTCATTGTCATCACAGTGTTTAAAGCATACAATTTGATGCACATTGGGTGAAGTTGAACCTCATCTAATTTCTGTGACAGAGAATTAAATCATATAGTCACTAGAGTTTGATGTACAGGATAACTTCTTGCAAGATGGCCCCCATGTTGCAGGACCATAGTTTTTGTTAATAAAGGTAAAGATTGAAAGACCTGGTGAGAGATTGAACACTTTACTTTTACATGAAAATTTGGAAAATATTATTTGTAAACAAGAGCAACAACAAAGATATAAAAAGAGATTTAAATGCCTCACATAGGAAAAGATCCTTTTGAATGATGCAATCTGTTTTGCAAAATATTACTTGAATTTGAATTGTCCCAAA